ACATAATGGTGACGGGTTTGACCACTCAAACTGTTAAAAATGTAGGTGACGAATCTGTTCTTGACTTTCACGTGGAAGAAAATCTTGGAAATAGAGAACCAAAGGATTTTTGGTTAGAGATGAGACATAATTCAAATATTAATTATTTGGCCAATAAAACTAATTCTATCAATCAAACCATGAGATCTACGATGGCAATTTTATCAGGCCTACTCTATTATCAAGAATCCATCATAGATACCAGCACAACTGAAGAGTCTATACCTGGGAAACATATCTTGAAATTAGATGATATATCACTAATTTCTAGCAACCGACCTAATACGTCTGCTCAATCCATTAATCTACCATGGTTGAACCAAGAGTCAACAAGTTCAAGGAACACACCTCGTACACCAAGAGGATCTACACCACGTTTAAAAAGAGGTCGTGTTACACTTTCACAACTATCTTCCACCAGGAAGACTCGAAGCCAATCACTAGCATCCGCATTACAAGAAAACCCCCTTCCAACCATGACCCAAAATGAAACCTCTAGTGAAACTTAAATAATAAAATTTATTTTTTTATTCTTTTTTAAAAATATATATATATATATATTTTTAACCATATAATTGCTGAGCATAAAAATGTTAATAATAAACAAAAAAGGTATCGGAGATTGCATTAAACTTATTTTCCTTTATTAAATATATAAAATTTTTCACATTAATTTTTAATTTATTGTATTTTTTTTTAAATAATAAATAAAATTAAAACAATACATCAAATGAAACAATTTATTTTTCTTCATTATTCTAATGATGATTTACAACATTTATGATAATCTCGTATAAACAAATGCATTCTTACATTTCTAAAATTTACGATCTTTAATTATTTTAATATTAAAAAATAATATGCTCCGATCCCTGATCGTTGATCCCGTGATGCTATTAATTAATACGCTCGAATTTGTCCCCGTCAGTCCCGTGTTCTGTGGTGGGTACTGAAACAAAAAAAATACTGGCTAGTTTTAAGATAAACTGTCGATCAACAAATTATCTAAGTAAATATGCGTTTAGTAATTTATATCCATAAACTAACCTTAAAGATATTTTTTTCATATGGACTTCAATTATAAAAAAGACTATCAACGGATCCTATTTGAATTAAAATTTTGTATAGAAAACATTCATGTTTCAGTTTTATTAGCAACATATTAAAATTGAACATAATAATTGATTGATCGCTCCTTATGATATATTCGTGCATAGATCAGTTATATCATGGTAAAAAGGCAGTTTTCGGAACGATCTGACGGAATCACAACATATTTATATGAATAAAACTTTAGAAGGCTATATCAATTAAATAAAATTCAGCCAATCAATGAAATTTAATTAGGACATATAAATATATCTTTAAAGAAAATTATTCTTAAGAATTCAAATACTATATCTCTTTTAATTGTCTACTGTTCATCTATTTATTTATTTATTTTATGGATAGCAAAGAGAATTACAATGAAAGTCACAAAACTATTCTATCGAATTAAAAGGGAAATATTATAAAACTTCATCCAAATCCAAAGGACCTAAGACTCTCAAGGCGGATCCTCACCAGAAAAAAAAAACTGACTAGCGTTCCGACCAAACCTAATCAGGAGGCCGAGAAAATAGTAGTATGATCTAGTGGTAGGTAACTATACATAAAATGTAATATGTCTATTGTCTATACGCGAAGTAGGAGCTTCTAAAGATAAACTATGATCTATATGGAGATAAAAATTGCTGCTATGAAGGAAAACAGATGAAGTAAATATTATAAATAACAAATCCGCTGAATTTTTATAAGATCTAAAATCCATAAAAGGATTACAATATTCGTAAGGTGCTGGTAATGGGCGTCTACACTTTCCGTGTTGTCTCGTTGTAGAAGAGCGCGAAGTTTTGTAGTAATTTTTAAATTGTTCCTTGCGATAATTTCCATTGTTTCCATATCACTGAACGTTTTTTCCAAACATTAAGTTTGATCAATTGTAAAGATAATTGCAAAAAGGCCATTAAAGCCCTATTAGCTTCTTTTTGTGTGTTAAAATGTACTTTAAAAATGTGATACAAGTCCTGAGTAACGTATGATCGAATGAGCAATATCGCATCCTCCGACGGAGGAAGATCCTTATAGATCCATTGGAAAGTGTTCGAGTATTTAAGTGAATCCGTAATACAAAGCGAAAATTTTGTCTGCATTTTCTCGCAAAATTTTTCCCGCTACTTCTAAAAGTAATAAAAAGGTGGATCGAATGTCTGGAATTAAATTCGGACACTGCCATATATGTTGATTTGTCTCAGTTTGAGAGTTGCATAATAAGCAATTGGTACGATTACGAATAAGGTTGGGATAGTTTCGATTCAGGATATCTAATGTAGGCAAAGTGTTTGTAGACGTTTTAATTTTCCACGATACGTCCTTTGTATGTTTGTTGCTGGTAGGTTCTTTATGAGCGTTAAAATTAAGCCATTTGGTTGTTAAGGACCAGTGAATCATATGTTTCTTGGTGAATTGTTGAATATCGGCTAGTTCATTATGATTAAGATGATTGTCAATTCTCTTGTAATTAATAATTTTATCGTACGTCTTTATCTAGAGGAATCTTTTATTCCCATAAAATGGTGAAGGTCTGCGAAGGAATATGATTATGAGTTATAGAGGTAGCTACATGTTCAAAGCGACCTGATTTTGCCATAGTGTCTGCTATATCGTTGAAACAAATGTTCGAATACTGTTCATCTATATATTTCATATTATTATAATATTTATTAAGTAGTTATATTAATCAAAATTAAGATCTGGACTACACATAGGTATTAAGTAAAGTAGTACTGTACGGTAATACAATTCGGACGGACTTTAATCCTTTTTGTTCGTACGTACGTTTCTAACAGATAAATTTTTTTATACTAGTGCATACGAATGCTTTAAAAATTATCGTACGACTTTGAATTTTCGTACAATTTGAATTTTCGTACATGTTTGTTTTTTAATAAAATACTTTATGTTAAAAAACATAAATATATCAATTATACTCTTTGAAGGTAAGCTTATAAATTTCTATTTCTTTAATAATATTCAGCTCTATAATAATAAAATTGACTCATAAAGTCATAATAATTATATAAACCTGTTCAAATTCAGAACTTACTAATTCAATTGGAAAATCTTCAACATCGGAATATTATTTACAATTATTTTCTTCTTCAAAGCAGTAAAGATTAAAAGAGATATTTATGATAAATATACAATAAACAAATCGTCAGTTAAAATCATTACATTACAAATATATAAATTAATCAGATCAATTATGTTACTCAAATATTATGTAATTGTAACATGTTCATTATCGAAAGTTCTATCGCATGATGCTACGATGTAAAATTATTAATACGGAAAATCAAAATTTATTTTTAATAGTCCGTCTGAGTACGGAAAAATTAAAAATTTTTTTCGAACGTCTGTCCAAATTTGTAGTACCGTACAGTACTATTTTACTATATATTCACTACACATAGTCACTTTTTTTGGAAAAATTAAACTATCACCGTACTACCAACAAACTTTATTGCGGTTGAGACCTGTCTATAATCACCAATTTCGGTCAACTCAAATCTAGAAAGATCTGGCGCCGCCATAATGACATTTTAAGTCGATAGTCAGTTTAGTTTGATTTTAGAGTTGATGGAAATACCCGATCGTCCTTACAACTTATTTGATGACGTGTGATTTAAGCCGGGTTTGAAAACGGCGATAATAATCATTTTCGACATATCCAAAAAAAATTTATGAAAAGGAGGCGATAATAAAAAAGAAATTTTTTTTTTAAAAAAAATAGTGAGTGGAAAATAAAGGAATAAAATCAAAAAAAAAATTTTTTAAGGGGGCGACGATTAACAATTTCGAAATAATCTTAAAATTTTTATCATAGTAAATATTTTTTGCTAATTGCCCGAGAGTCGATTTTGCCTTGATAAATATTAACAGTGATTATACAATACTTGAATACCGCGTATTATAAAACATAGTAAAAAATTTTTGATATACCGAACTCAGTCACATGATTTGCCAATTTTGCCTGAAATTAATTAATTTCGGCCAGAATTAGAACCACTTAATTTTTGCCTAAATTAAGACATCTTAATTCTGGCCGAAATTGTGATATTATTTTTTAATCACGTGATTTCATTAGAAGATGGATATTTTGAATTAATTATGTAGATTTTCTAATGATGTATTCTAATTCGTCGTTTAAAGTAAATTTTGCATTGAAGATAGAAAATTGATTAACCTTATTCTGATTTATGGGATTTTCGTCAATAATCTCCTCTATTTTATTGCAGTCGTTCGTTTCCTTACAATCTGGACAAAGTTTTTGAGATTTTCTCCTAGTTCTCATATTACTTAAATTGATACTTTGAACATATGGAGTTCTTTGTTCGTGATCATTTTTTGATGGAATTGTAAAATGATTATAATAACGATAAATTGTCGGTCACACAAGTCAAATAGCGGAAAAAGAAATTTCTTTAAAAAAATCGTCTAAATAGAAAGTAAAATCAAAAAAAAAAATTTTAATTTTCGGTACTTCACTTTTTACTTAGATGATTCAGAAGAAGAATTAGGGTTGTGAAATTGTGTAGTGATTGCAACAAGCTTCTGTAAGTTTTCTAAAGTAAAACTCGATAGGCCGTATTTCAGAAAGTGTTTCTTTTGAAGATTTTTAAAATTATTTGCAATTTCTTCAATCTTATTTACTTTGCTGGAAACTAATTTAACGCAATCAATTGTTTCTTTACAATTATAATAAAGTTTTGGGAGCTTTCTCCTAATTCTTTTGTTATTATCGAGATTTATTTTTGAATGTAGAGATGCGTTCTACTTCGTTTATGCGACATTAGATATTGCGAGTAACGAAATAATTTACGTAAAAATTTCATAACTCTTTTTATAAGAAAAAGGTCCATCCGGGAATTTTAGAATTTTGGAATAAACTATTAGTTATTTTATTTGGTTGAGTTTTACGCGTTTTATATTGTGTAGCGTTCGTGCTTTATTCAAGATTAATAAATAAATCATTTGTTACTATATCGTATTCATCATAGTATATATATAGCATACGAGTATATTATAAACTTTGTTATTGACAATGTAATTCCAGTCGAATATTTAAAGAATGACTGCATTATAGTAATGTGACAAATGGCAGCAGTAGAGATATGCAAATGTTATATTTTACTAAAATCTTTATTAAGCTCATGAATTATTACTCAATAGGCTTTATTGAAAATA